TTCAAATTTAGAAAGATGGATTACTTCGTATTATTGCAGTCAATCAGACGTATACGTTGTGGCATGTGCATGCGCCGCAATTCGGAGTTGAGTATGCTTCGTGATTTAAAAACACCTAGCTAGTCTACGATATGCATGCTCAATCAGCTCTGCGTATTACTTTGTGCGTACGGTACATGTTTGGATGTACATTATTACCATAACCACGGACAAACGACTGTCATAAAATCATGTGATCGGTTCCTCACATGCTCCTATTATATGTATCAATTTTTTATATGAATTGTCATCATACATAACCAGGGATCGACGCGTATAGTTTACAAATGTGCTACTAACCATGACGAAGGTCGATGTTCTCTTTGATCGAAATACCAAACATATTTGGAACATGATGATGGAGAGCGCGCTGATCATCGGCGTGCAAACAAAAAGGGAAGCTTGTTTTTATTGCATTCGTGGACACGTTATCGGCTTCAAAGCACTGGCGGTCCATTGCCAAGGCACGAAACTTGTCTAGTACGATCCTTATACAAACATCAAACAAGTCTGCAAAAACCCTAAAAGCAAAAAACACACATACAGTCAGAATTGTGTTCTGCAGGACGTCATCTACGGCCTAACGCGTCATTTCCAAACGCCCATGCTCTAAGCGACTTTTGGACATCATGCGCCAAGCCTAAACACACTCGAACCTAACTACGTACCAATCAAAATCCCTACGGAAACAACGACTCTAAGTCCTCTTCTGCCGCTTGTAATCGATCGCGGCCGCCGCAATCTCATACTCCGCGCGCTCCCCCAGCAGGGCCTGGTCCTCGAGACGCTTCCTTTTCCACTCCCGTTCAGCCTCTGTCAGCATCATGCCGTCGTCAGGCTCGGTTTCCTCCTCCGCCCGCCGCCGCCACGCAATCCGGGCCAGCTGCTCGCTCGTGCCGTGATCGGTCGCCTCTATTGGGGCACCATTGGCGACCTGCAGCGCCTGCATGTGCAGCGACCGACCGTGCTCCTGCATGCCCGGGAAGGCCGTCCGGATGACCGCCTCGGCGAAGAACACCTCCTCGGCAGGAGTGTTGAACTGGACGGTGACGGGCAAGATTCTGGACAACATGGAGGCCTTCCAAAGGTTGTTCCTGGCGAGGAACTTTTCCGCCAGCTCCGGATCGTAGTTGGTCTGGATCATGACCAACTCGTCCGGAACCTCGAAGTCCTGCCAGAAGCCCCGCCCCATGTCTCCCAGCCCCCGCACTGGCGCGGGACCGTACGTGTCCCGGCCCTCTTTTTCGTTGAGGAAGCGCGGCACCATCTCGTCGTCGTCCGCTTCCAAATCCACCGACCCGGCGTCATCCTCGGACTCGTAGTCTTCCAACCCTTCCCCGTTGTCCGCCTCCTCCTCCTCCTCCTCCTCCAATGACCCGCTTTCCCCACGAAGTTCTCCTTTCTCCAGCTCGCTTGCGTTCCGCCCGCCTTCCTCGTCCCTCCGCCCAGCCGCCAGTGGGTCGGCGCCATTCAGCGTGTCGGCCAAGATCCGGATGAAGCTTCTCCTGAGCTCCAGATGAGCGCCTCCGGCAGCCTCGCACTGGTACACCGCCCTCTGCATAGTCTCTTCCAACGGCAGCTCCTTCCAAAGTGCCGTCCGCACGACCACCTTGGCGAGCTCGTCGGGCGCTCTGCCGGTCGCAAACATCTCCCCAGGCTGGACGATCAGCTGCGGAGCAGCTGCGGCCACGGTGATCGCCCCACTCGAACTCGAAGCCGCGCCTGCCGCTCCTCCATCTAGAAGGGCACCGTCGTACCCAATCGCCCGAAGCAGGTTAGGGTCCGGCAGCGCGCCCGTCGGCCTTCCCGCCAATGGAAGGCCTCCCTTCAGCTCGAACCCATCAAACTCCGGCTCGTCTTTCTCCCGGTCCCTTCCGCCCAGCCGCTTCGCGTCCCGGATGAAGCGGTACAGTGTTAGAACGTGGGAGTTGGTGCCCGTGGCGTACTTTAGCTGCGTTGCCGAATAGTACGGCCCTAACCCCTCTAACACAAAGACCGGGAGCTTTCTTAGCACGGCTGCCACCGTCTCCACCTCCATCTCCTGTTGCGCCGCTTCACTGAGCCCCTCCTTGGACCACTGCTTCCTCTGCGACCTCCAGTCGATGACGTGCAAGGGTGGGGAGACCCACTCCTCTTGTTCCATTCGGGCCGTGAGGACATACAGAGTTGCGTCTTCAAGGGACACAGTCCGCCCCTCCGGCCCCGCTCCCCATCTCGAATCCGCTGGCGCCTCGTTTAAAACCCCCTGCCCCCGTTTCGCCGTCCCCTTCGAGAACAGCTCGTGGATGTTTCTCAGCCGAAGCCTCCACCTGTCCCCGGCGTCCTCACCGCCAGCTGCTGCAGGGATGTAAACGCAGACTTCAGAGTCATGAATCGCCCGCATCATTTCCAAGAAACGAGCTACACAGTCCAAATTTGATATGCCCCGCTTTAGCTAAGGTACGCGCAAGATTTCCTGAAACGTCGATCTTTTTGTCATATTGGAAACGCTGCGATTCGGGAGAACGAGGTGCTGGAGTCTACTACAATCACCCAAATGCTTCAAAATAGCTTGGAAGAGTTTGACTGTTGAATGATGCTTGCAACGGGAGAACTCCAAATTCCAAGGCTGCAAACACTTGCTTCCAATGAGCATACGTAGTAGGGTACCTGAGCGGATGGCCTTCCGCCGTTCGCCTTCCAAAAAGTTGACCATAACGCCGATGGCCACTCGGCCGTCCGGGGTCAGCTCTCCCTGCCACGCCTGCCGCCACGTGCTGTACAGCTGGCAGTATGCTGGGCTGCCGTCCAAAGCCGCTGCATTAGCGGCTAGCGTCGCGGAGACGTCGATCTTGACATTGAAGAACTCAGGAGGAGGCGCAGAATCTACAAAGTTCCCAAACAGAATCGTTTATGTATATGATGCTCGCATTAATACTCATGGCTACATTTGGATATGGCACAGGAGCGCGACTCCGAGACGGACTTTTGTTCGAGACAAAGCACGTGAATACAACGAAAGGATGCCGTTACGATGTGTCAATTATATCAATCTTGTTCAAGTCTTTAAGGCATTAGCCTGTCTTACTTAGGTCTTTTATGACGCTACTGCAAAATGTGCGGCAAAGAAAGCTTGCCCACGCAATACACCATAAACAAATGTAACTGACACGATCGTTCGTTGCGAAACCGGCAGATCAAAACCCTAACAAACCTAATCGAAACAGACAGGCAGACGCACCACTAACTCCCCCAGCACCACCAGATCCTTTCTCCGGAGACCCGCCACCAAGGCCCCGGCCACCCGTATCCACATCTTCCG